TGTATGATAGGTTGCTGAACTCAAGGCCATGCCCCCGCATCATCTTCCTAGACACAAGGGGCATAACATTTTTCACTCCTGCCGATTTGTCCAATTCTGGAAGAGTCTCAAGGTTCCTGTTTGTGTCTTTGTGGCCTAACTTTGCCATGGAATGATTTGTGAGCAATCTTTCTGGCCTTCCTTTATCCAGCTTTGGGCTGAAATTTTGCGAGGTGGGTGTTGAGGGTACAAAGGGTGAAAAGAGGAGAAAAAGACTTGAGAGGGTAGAGACTGGAAAAAAAGGGTGGCGGTTAAACTCATAGGAAATGCGTAGTGGAGATTATGGACAAAAGGAAAAACAATGGGGGGATGAGGCGGCAACACTTTCTGATCTCCTCTAACTTTTTCCCTTTTTGGGTTTTGTCAATAATTTGCTTTGTTATTAGCACAAGGTCTTTTGGTCTTGTTTCTTTGCCATGCAACTTTGATTACAGCTTTTCATTTTTCAGCTCATTGCTTGAGGGTCATCGAACTTTTTTTGTTAAAAATAGTCAATCTTGATTATATATAAAAATGTTGTAACAATAATTTTTTTAAAATTTTCAACTAAATATCTATTAGATTTTAAAAATACTCATTAGACTTTGAAAATATCTTCAATAATACTTAATAAGTTTTCTTTTAAAAATACTTATTAAAAAATAATTCAAATTTAACATATACTAATTATCACAATTCAACATTAATAAGATTTAATTTCTTATTGAATTTATTCTCCTTTCTTATTGTAGAATTTGATTAATCTTTTTATAATATATTTCTAATTATATAGTATTAGAGTTACAATTATACAAATGGGCAAACCACAGAAAAGAAAAAGAGAGAGAGAAGATGTGCCGACACATAATTCTATGTTGGACTTTCGTTTCTTTTCTTAATACTGAAACGACAAACTTGGTTCTAAACCTTATGGAGTTTTACACTTTAGTTCTTAGATTTCAGAAGTCTACAATTAAGTCAATTTCTAATATCTACAATCTCATCCTCAATCTCACTAGTTTATTCACCCTTTTACTTGGTGAAACATTATGATTTAGTTCCAAATTTATAATTTTTAAAAGTTAAATCCCACCCTACACAAATTGACCTGAGCACTCCTTAAGAATACCAATACAAAAGCAATGCATATGCAAATGGTTCAATTTCAAACAATCAAAATAACAATTAAGAAAGAATAGTCTATCAAGCATTGCAACACTATATTACTCCCTTATTTTGTAGAACATCTTTTATTCAAGATATCATGAGGTTGTTGAAAATTACAATATTGAAACCTTACAAATATGTAACAATTACTATTAGGAAGGGACAAAAAAAGAAATATTTTCATCTCTCTCACACATGCAAGCCTAAATTAAGACATAAGATGATCCTTGAAATGGATTCCATTTAATTTTTAAATGTAGTAGAGATTAGTTTCAAATTTTTAGTATGTATTAGGATTTGCTAAGAGGTAAGCTTCAACAACCTTGAAAAGTCCCAAAGCCTTGTCTTTACTAGCCTTGATTTCCTCTTCCTTGATCTCAATCTCACCAACAATGAAATACTTGTTGGTATTCTTGCAAATGGAACCTCCATCTGGAGAAGCCACTATTATTGTCTCATAAGTGATCTTTTCTAGTGTTCACATAAGAGCAGCACCTTCTATTATTGAGTAGCTGTAAATGAAACTGTCTTTGCCCACAGCTTCTACCTTA